AAAATGGACAATTCACATATAGCAATTTATAATGTGATTTTTATATATGTTTCGATATCTTGTTCTCACAACCATCTTTTTAAAAATGAGCAAAAAAAGTATGCAAACAGCTGGACAGAGTGATTTTTTTTTTTTTTTGGTACTGAGGATTTAACCCAGGGGTGCTTTATTATTTTAATTTTTAAATATTTCATTTATTTATTTTTACGGGGTGCTAAAAAATTGAACCCAGTGCCTCACACATCCTAGGCAAGCTCTCGGCCACTGAGCTAAAAGCTCCAGCCCCTTTTTTTTTATTTGGAGATGGGGTCTCACTAACTTGCTAAGTTGCTGAAACTGGCCTTGAACTTGTGATCCTCCTGCCTCAGCCTCCCTAGTCATTGGGATTATAGGCCTATGCCACAGCATCTGGCTAGAGTGAACTTTTGAACCCAGGGTTTCCAGACAATTCAGGGTCTACACACTAGCCTCCCATTGCCTCTTACCAAGGAAAGTTCAGTCAAAGCCAGCACATTGTGTTCTGAGCTTGCCCAGAAGTCCTTGTCATGTGGAGAAGACCAGGGCAGAAATCCTTAAGTTTCCCCACCCCTAGCTCCAACACACACTACACCTAACCCTCACTCTCCCAAGAAAGTTGACCTTAATTCAAAATCCAGCACTAATACACAATAACCCTGCTAACAGGGTTCTAGAGACACCTGGTAGGGGTTCATCTTGCTGTTCCTTTTATACTATTTAAATTACCTATTCAAAAAAGGTGTTTTTTTTKGGGGGGGAGGGGTGGTACTGGGAATTGAACCCAGAGCACTTAACCATGGAGCCACATCCCCAGCCCCTTTATGTATTTTATTAGAGACAGGATCTTGCCGAGTTGCTTAGGGCCTAACTAAGTTGCTGAGGCTGGCTTTGAACTCGTGATCTTCCTGAGCAGCTGGATTACAGTTGAGAACTACCATGCCTGGCTTAAAAAGTTTTGACGACCAAAAAAAAATCTGCTTCAGCTAACTTCCAGCAAAGACAGGAAGAAAGAGCATGTGTCCCACAGGTTTACCGAAACTGCTAGGGATTAGAGGGGAGGGAGAGAGGTTTGTGCTATTAATACCATGCTCCCAAGGGAAAAAAAAAAGAAAAACTTCCTCACAATTCTTTCTTCCTATCCAGACAGGCGACTGCTTGTTGCCAACAGGCAGTGTTCCCAAATCCTACCTCTCTGGGCCTTAGCGCCCATCCTCCAAGACAGAGGAATCAGATCTGAGTTTACTAGCCAAGTAGGGACCCTGAAAAATGTGTAATGGAAACAGTGACACACTGCAGGCTTCAAGTTGACCTTACTGTTCCCAAACCACAGAGCCCCAGGGTGACTCTCGGAGTTCTCAAATTGGGTTTTGATCCTTCCCTCCCTGGGCCCCATGTGGATAAAAGGTGATGTGGTTCTCACAGCACTAGGCTCAGCCACTCCCTGCCAGAGGCTGGAATCCAGACTCATTTCCCAGTTTGAAACTTGGGGCTCCCCCATCCCATTCCTTCCAGCAACCTGTTTTGTTCTAGGAATGGCAAGCCTTCATACATTCATTCAGCTCATACTTCCTAAGCACCTACTACGCACCAGCTTGTGTTCTAGAATCTGGGACTCAGCACTCCTACTCAGGGAGCTCACATTCTAGCAGAGACCCTGGTGTGCTCCAGACCCTGAGGAATACCTGYGCCTAAGAGCCTCCAGCCTTGGTGTTTTTGTTTTTGTTTTTTTGGTACCAGGGATTGAACCTAGGAGTGCTGCACCACTAAGCCACATCCTCAGCCCTTTTTATGTTTTATTTTGAGACAGGATCTTTCTTAAGTTGCTAAGGACCTCACTAAGTTGCTAAGGCTGGCTTTGAACTTGTGGTCCTCCTGCCTTAACCTCCTGAGTTGCTGGGATTTCAGGCGTGTGCCATCACACTTAGCTTAAATGTTTTTATGGAAGTATTCATATGCTCAGAGTGCATGCTCGTAATCCCAGCAACTTGGGAGACTCGGTGATTTGGCAAGACCTTTATCTGAAAATAAAAAGGGCTGGGAATGTATCTCAGTAGTAGAGCCTCTCTGGTTCAGTCCCCATCACCAGGAACAAAAAAGCTACAGAAAACTGTATTATCAAAAGTATTGATAATACTTTTGTCTCGCATGCATGAGGACCTGGGTTCAATTGCCAGCATGACACACACACAAAAAAAAGTATACAGTTAAGGGCGAGGGTATAGCTCAGTTGTAGAGCATATGGCTGGGCACTGGGTTTGAGCTCTAGCATCTCAAACAAAACAAAACAAAACAAAAAAACATAGTCTACAGTACAATGTACCAACTGAGTATACCTGTGTATTTAGCATCCAGATCAAGCACAGAACAGTTCCAGCATCCCAAAAGCCTCCTCATCCTTCCCTCCAGTTAACTATCGTGCCAATTAGGTAACTACTTTCCTTACTTCTTAGCAGCACAGACAAGGTTTTGCTTATTTTTGTTCTGTTTTGTG